TGACAGCAGAATTGTCACACAATGCAACAATTCAACTATTAATCCTTCATCACATTCTACGTTCTACGGTGAGTACACATCTTATTTAAAGCTGTCTGGCAATTGATACTTCTTAAAATGTGGTTGCTAGACCAAGGGTCAGTCCATTTGGTATTGCATTTTTTAAGTCATGTCTGAGCGTAGAAATTCACCATGGGTCGTTTGACGATCAGGTGGAGGAAAATGTCCTACTCGAAAATTCCCACTCAACTTGGAATCTGATTTATGCATTTGCTATTGTCTCTTTATCCTACCGACTCTCTCTGGAGAAAGGAATCTGAGCAAAGGAGGCATCAATCCGATAATATGACCGAAACTGGTGCACTTTTGCACACATCAGGCTCTCGAGACATGTAAAACAATTTGGCGTTGATGACAAGAAAAAATAAGGAGTTTGTTGGCGAAACTCATTAACCAAGCTTGATGAACATCTTTGAGAAAAGTGTAAATAATTTCGGTCGTTTGTGCAATGTTGCCTCGCACGCACCAAATAGTGATCTTTAAATTTTGTTTTATGCACATTTTGCTTTCGAGAATCTGGAAAAAAATTGCCAGCATGGATAAGCTAGCCGCCGCAGATTCTTCAGAAAGCATATTCTTTAAGCTTTTAGACGCGCTTACCGCCATAATAAACATAATTTCGGCTAAAGTTACAGGCAGAACAGCATTGGTTGTGCTGTAAGTTGGTAATGGGACTCAATAGGTTACTGATTTGTCAATAAGTAGCACTGATTGATGCTGTAACAAATGCCATTTTCTGCCAATTGCTAGCCTGAGCGACTAAAATGTTTAAAAAGTTGTCTTCTGAAGAATCTGCTATTATTTTTTTATACATGCTAGAATTTTTTTTCATGATATCATAACAACCAAAAAGCCATACACGCATTGCCACATTGTTTTAAGCCTTTGGGCTGAAGAATTTTGCCAGTAAACTACTTATTTCTTCAACAACTTGTATCCAAGGTAGTGGTGTCAAACTGCACCAGTTTCGGTTGTCTGGTTGTCTCATTGTCTGGGGGCATACGGAGATACAGAGGAGATATGCCCGAAATTGATAAAAATCTATCTAAAAGTTGTAAGTAGGACAGCTTTACACCGGTTGAACCAAAAATGAATGTTTATTTTCTATTCTACTGTTGGCCAAGGACTTGCTCATTCAATCCAATAGCTGTTACTCCAAAAAAATTCTCTGTCGGTATCTGGTGCGGCCAAAGCACGAATTGCTTCCAGTCAACTTTTCCTTCGAACTGAACAGTTGGGTCACACCAATCCACTAAAGGAGTCTTCGAAACCCGGCTTTTCGGCATGGAGATACCAGAGAGGACCGTTTAAGAGACAATGCAGTCATAGCAATTAGCCTGAGCCTAACGGGAATAGAGTTGAAAATTCTGCTCCCAACTTTCATCCCGTCATAGAAAGGGGGAGTAAAGTGGTTAATATATCCAAACGATATCTTCTATTTAGCCGCAGGGCAGTCGCGATGGCAACTGAATGACGAGGCGTCCGGTAGAGATGACAGTCCCAGCATCAAACAGCCATTAGGGGGGATAGTCTTCTGCATGTGGCACGTCTCGGCCGGAGTAATTAAGTGAGGCCAACTGTAGACAATTGGATGAGCCGAGGGGTCGGATGATTTTGAATGATTAGTCACGAGTACGGGCAATTTTGGTTTCGACCGATAAGTACGTCGTGCCGGCGCGTGCTCCACAGTTGAAGGGACTCGGTTGCGAAGTCACCCCGGAACAACTGAACAGAGGCTCCTTCGACGGAGCTCAACCGGGACGGACGAGAACTTGATGAAACTGGCGTCGAGTCCGTCAGGCATTGAGGCGAAGATGAGACTTCAGAGAGATTCGAAGAGATTCGAAGAAGACGACGACCGATTCCGCTTGATCAGCTGTCGATTGGCTTTACTGGAACATTCATGCTGACGCTGTTTCCGAGGCAATATCCTTCGATTCCGACTAAAACGTGCCGTCGTCTTCTGGTGGAACCGACCTTCGATCTCTTCACGCAACACTTCCCCTCGAAATGGAAGTGAGCTCAACAATTATGAAACAAGAGATTCCTCAAAACCCAACTTTTCTTCGCATAAGATGAATCAGCCGCCATCTTCTGGTGGAACCGACTTTCGAATCTCTTCAACCAACACTTTCACTCGAAATGGAAGTAAGCTCATCAATTATGAAACAAGAGATTCCTCGAAACCCAACTTTTCTTCGCATAAGATGAATCAGCCGCCATCTTCTGGTGGAACCGACTTTCGAATCTCTTCAACCAACACTTTCACTCGAAATGGAAGTAAGCTCATCAATTATGAAACAAGAGATTCCTCGAAACCCACTTTTGTTTGTATAGACTTCAGAGAGCCATTTGATGCCGTTTGAAGCTCTGCCTACGCCTGCCTGAGCAGTTGGTAGAGACGAGGGATTCGGACAATGAAGGCGGGTAGAAGAGCTAAATTCTAGATTGGACTGTACTGCAGGCTCGGCTTCATTAGCAAGTCAACCTTCAGTTGGACTCGAACCCGGGTCGTCGCAGTGCAGCGTATTGTCTCGGCACGGCAACAATTGTGTCACACTGCCAATAGTGCCTTTGGTTCACGGGAGAAAAGTGAATCTCTTTTACCATATCACACCTCAGAGCGAGGAATGTC